GACCACCCCCTTCTAACTGATCTGCTGGAGGGATTTTCCAACAACCAAAGCATTTTTCAAGGTATTGACTTAGGGAAAATATTTAACAAAGACAATTTCCAAACACAGTGGTCATAAAAAGGAAAAATGAATCACTTACTTGGTTCTACCTTCAGGTAGGTTCCTTTGCCAAAGATGAGTGGATCATCACAGCAGACAGACCTAATCTAAAAACCATCTAGCTTTCTCTTTACGGTTTCCCTGGCCCCAGTTGCTGAGTCACGTGGTAGCCATTGGATGGGATTTTCTGTCCCATCTGGCCTGACCTCTTTCTCCTCAGTCTTGGGGCCTGCCTTTGAGGACAAAGTAGGAGGCGATGCCAGGGTCAAGTACAATATCCAGGCATTGGTCATGTTCAGATCTGAACTTGCGCTTGGAATGACGTGAGAATGTAGAAGGCAAAGGGTTTGATCAGAAGAGAAAGATAGAACATTGGCCATGGAGTAGTGGCTCCTCACTTAGGGGGGGCACATGCTGGGGCTACTTGTGCTGCTCCCTCCTACCTTTCAGGGAAATTCCATTTCATGTCAGAGCTTTGCCTCATTGCCCAACTTCTTAGTATAAAGTTGAATAAAGAGTCTTCAGTACCTTTCAATAACATCTTCATGAATATCAAACTTCATGCAAATGTTAATGACAGACTCACACTTAGAACTGACAGTTAAATTAGCCTCTGTCATATGTAAAAATCAGCATCGATACAATTCCTGTATGTCACTCACAAAAACCAAGCAGAGAATATGCATTTTCTGATCAGGTTATAGCTTATAAGGGACTGCAGGCCTACTTTGAGAATGACTAAAACAGAGTGGTTCCCAGTTGTGATGAAGTAGAAAAATGTCAGAAAACCTGAAATTTAGTTTCGATTTTTCTCTTACTAAGTGTATAAACTTGACCACATTCCTTACCTTCACTGAGCTTTATTTGGGCCCTTTATAAAATGAAAATAATATCTCCTGAGTTGGGAGATTGTTAGATGAAATGAGAGGGTTTATATAAAGTATTCTGTAAACTAGAACTTCTTGATGCCATTATTAGACATCATTAGACTAGAAAAAAGTTATACTTAAAGCAGCGGATTGTAGTTCCACTAGGATCAGAGGCACCAGTGCGAGATTGTAGGGACTGGTCATTAAGCAGAGAGCACAATCCTACTTCTTTAGGGCTTATTGAGATGAGGAGCCTGTGCACTCTTCAGTGCTATGGAGAGACCTGGAATCCAGGTTTCTGTCTGCTTTGTTTTTTCTCTAGGTCAAATGTGACTTCCATTTCATTCTCTAAACTTTCCCTCTTGAATCCAAAGCAGAAGTTCTTACAGTGGCCTACAAGCCACCACCCCAACATTGCCATTACCAACCTGACCTTATTTTCAAATTCCCTCCCTGTCATTCACTTTCCTCCCATCACACAACCTGCCCTTCCCCCAACCCCTTAATCTTCACATCCCAGGGCGTGCTGTGCTCCCTCTGCCTCAGAGGGCTCCTCCTCCCAAAAGCTGCATGTCATCTGCTCAGATCTTTGCTCAAATGTCTCCTTTCCACCAAGGCTTCTTGACACCTCTATTAAAAATGGCGCTCTACAGCCTCCTGCTAGTATTCTACGCACCTTCCCTGCTTTATTGTCCTTCGCAGGACTTGTTACCACCTAAATACTACATAATTAATTAATTTAGCTTTCCATCTGTCTTTTGTCATTAGAAGGGAAACTCCAACAAGTTTTGAATTTCTGTTTGTTTTATTCATGCTGATTCCCCAGCACCTAGAAGGGGGGCCAGCATTTAGTGATGGCGATGGACCACAGTTTGCAGGGTAGGACTCACGCTGAACTCAGGTGGGGGGGGTCCTAGTTTCTTTCATTCCCATTTCCTTTTGTCTGACACCACAGCTGACTTGTTCATTCATTCAATCAACATTTATTTAAGAATGTCAACCTATTTGTAGACACAGTAATGAACAACGCTAAGTCCTTGCCCTCATGGATCAGGGGGACATGTGGGAAATGAGCACACACAATTTCAGGAGGAGGTGAGCACTGTGAAAAGTAAAACAGGGTGAGAGGGCTGCAGGGTGAGGGGGCTGCAGAATGACAGGGAGGGCCGGAGAAGGCCTCACCGAAAGTGGCATTTAAATAGAGACCTGGAGAACGAGGGAACAAAGCTCTGAGTTCCTGGCTGAAGCCTGCTCTATTCTGGGAGAGGACACCAGGCCAGGGGCTGGGGTGTGGTTGGAATGGGGACGTTATCTCAGAATATTAAGAAACACATTGAGGAGTCCAGGATTTTGTGGACCCCTCTTTCTTTGGGGAAAGGATGATTTTCTGATGGTTACCTGGATCTTTCTGAATTTAGGGACCCTTGTACTCCAGGGAGTGATGTGAAGGATGGGCCTTGACTGCCTCTGCCTGGGGAAAAAGAATGTCCTTTGGGTAACTGGTTATATAATGGGGGTGAAGGACCGTGGGGGAGGGGAGTGGAAGGGAGGCAGCCTAACTGCAGCTTCAGACTCTGCAGACAGGTGGGCAAGGAGCTCGCTAGAGACCTGAGGGGGAGGCTGGGACAGGCAGCAGAAACCACCACGTGTGCTGCAGTAAAATGCAGTCTTGACAACAGAGTGGCGCTCTAAGGGCATGGTGTCTGGAATCAGATAGAGGACACAAATTCTGACTTTCCCAAACTGTGGGAACCCCTCCTAATGTGTAAAAATGCAGGTAGAGCCCCTAACTCGCATGATCCTTGAGAACTGAGTAATATGACATTTCATACCTGAAGTACCTCACCCAGCTGTCTGCTTCACAGGGGCCACTCAAAAAGTGACATTTAATAACACATATTGTTCTATGTCCAGCCCCTTTCATGAAGACGTCCCTGACCACTGGCCTTTCTGAGCTCCTGTCACTATCTCTGCCAGCAGCGCACACCCCCTGTGCCCCTTCAGCCATGCAGTTTTGTCCAGGCCTCTGGCTCTGTTTCATGAAATTAAGTGGCATCCTCGGGTGTTCTCTTTCCAGAGGGCTAAAAGGTGTGGTGGATTTGAGGCTGTGGGTCTGTGCAGACCTGTTCTGTTGGTTTTGTGCTACCAGAGAGCCTTGCAAGTAAGAACTTGAAAGAAACTCCTGAGGAAAGAAAGCATCAAAAGGAAGGAGGCTTCTGAGAAGATGAAGGCCCTGGGTTTGCAGTGGTGCCTCTTTAATCTAACATGAGTTGGCTAAAAAAGAAGGCACCATTCCAAGACACTCTAGATCGTGCCATCTCTGGGTGCCCCCTAACTTTTCATTTCACAGAATGCTGGAATGTACCAGCTCAGTGCTTCCCTCACTTTAATTAACCACATCTCCTTTTTTGGGGCCGTATCCATCTGTCACATAATTTGCTTAATAATTTACTTTAAATTTACTCACTGTATAACTTAAACTGTAATTAAAAGGAAAACTTAAATCACATGGACTTGACAATCGAGCTGTATCATTCTGATATCCATTAAAAGACAGTGAAATTAAGATGAAAAGAAAGCCTATCCAGGTGCCACGCATTCCACAGAGGGACACACCGGGTCAAGTATATCAGTTCACAGAGGAACTGAACTCATTAGGAAGAACTTAGTGAAATTAGTCCCTTTGTTGGGAATAGAGGTAAACTAGTATTTTAGTGAGAATGGGGTCTAATGGGGCCTAATGGCAAGGGCTTGAATTAGTTGAATTTCCAAACTCTTACTATGATTTAGAAAAGTGGCTGATTTTTTCTGCTCTGACTCTGCTAGCTCAGCTTTGGATTTCTGACTCTTTCTGGATGCAAGGTGTCTACCTCACTTCTCCCCGTAGTTTGTTAGGTCCAGGAATGCCCAGCCTGAACTCCCCCCATCACCTTCCTCATCCCTCATGCTATGCCTTTTTACTTCATCAACCCAGGATTGTCCTGCCCCCAATTATCCTTTGAAAAAACAGTCTACTCCATCACACTCTCCCCCCTCACCTCTCTAGAGCCTTCTCTTACCAGTCAGGACATGCTGTTACTCTCCCAGTAGTCAGTTCAGTAGATTTGGGACCCCTCACCCCACTGCTAGCCCTTTCCCAAGGGCCTTTGAAATGGGGTTTTGTATTTGTTTATTACTTTTGTGAGCTAAATACGGAGACCCACTATCTGACTAGAAGCTGCTGTCAAGTGGAGACTGCTATATTTTTGTTTTCTCTTTAGCAAGACACAGTTGAATTCAAATGTCACTTAAATGACACGAAAGGATACCTTCTATGTTGAATACAATCCTTTGACAACTGTAGCACTGATTCCTTTAAAACCGTTAATTGGCGAGCAGAGCCATATCCTCTCAGTGAGGAAGGCACACACCCCAGCCCGGAGGGAATAGCCCCTGGCTGTGTCCTACAGTCTTAAAAGCATTTCTTAGTCAGAAACATTACACATTCACTTTGTTCTGCTTGGAATCTGGTCTCACTGGAAACCAGAATATCCCAACTCCTCACTAGTAACCCAGCTTCCATTGGCAGCTCTAATAATTAGCAACAGACGTCTGGAACTGGCTCCCTTCCCGTGAAGGTCTCACTTGCTACGCCCAGGAGGCCAATTTAGTTCCGAGCTCTCCCAAGGTCAGATTTATTTATGTCTGGAGCCACCTTGATAGAATCACCCAGACTCACATCAACCTTGCTCCCGATCAGGTTAGCCTCTTCTCCGGGAGTTGGGTCAATGACTCTGTGGTCTCTCTAGCCTTGACCCAAATCCTGGGCAGAATTTTCTCAGTTTCCCTTGAGTTATATGGGATATTTCACATCCCCCAAGTCTATTCTTTTTTTTAACAAACAACCCCAGCCCTTACGGAGGGTAACAAACATTTAACAAACATTGTCTAGCTCTTACGGAGGGGATAAATCTTAGTTCACATGTCCCCCAAAGCCCTCCTTGACAGATAGAAGATGACTTAACCTCAAACAAAAACAAAGGATTTACTTACTTGGTTCCACAATCAGGCGGGTTCCTTTTCCAAAGATGAGTTTGTCTGTGTCACAGCACTTGAAGGCATTCCAAAAACCTCAGCGTTCTCCCACCTCCTTCTCCTATTAGCTTTTTCGTGCTGGAGGATCTTTAGGGTATCTTAGATAGCACTTGTTGATTCTCCAACTGGTTCTTGATGATTTAATCAGTTGCAGATAGCAGTGCTTTTGCTTTGGGAGGCTGTAGTTTTAGGCATAGGTGGGAGCATATTCCTGTGGTGAGCATTTCCAGTACAGTACACTTCATGAAGTTCTCTGAATTTCTGCTTTCCGTTATTTTAGATTGGTCTTGCTTCTTGGACCTACACCTAACTCTGTATTGGAAAACTGGCATCCCCAAGGTAAAGGACCTTGGATCCATGACTGTTCCAGAGTCATGGCTTCACAGTCAGCGGTGCTGTTTTAAGGGAACATGTGGCATGACAAGAGGTGACAGGATGGCATGAAACCAGGATCAGGTGCCTGTGCTTTACAGCACAACCAGTGTTAGAATAAACAACAATGGCTGGTAATTGCATAAAAACAAATCCATCTCTGCAATTTTATCTTCCCAAACTGCAAAGCAAAATCTCTCTAGGGATTTTGGGCAAATCTCTCTAGGGATTTGGGTTCAGAAATTCCATATGAGATGATTCTGATGACTCTCTTGTGCAATACAATCAACATATAACCAAGACAAGGACAGTTTTTAAAGGAAAATCTTTTTTGTATTTCCCAAATGTGGTCATAAGAAAAATTGAAGTGTGAGTTTTACCCATGGGAGGGACAGTAAGTGAGAGGCCAGAGGGGGTCACCTCTTCTGGTTTGGTCAACTTCATAGCATCCCTTCTGGGTCACTGAGCAAGGAGGAATGGCTACCCTACTGTGCTTACCCTCTGGGGCACCATAGCCATGATGACAAGTCCCCAGGGAGATGCTACTATGCCCCTGCAGTTTTTGTACAGGTCTCTGCGGGATCTGTAGCACTGTGCGTATATCCCCCCAATCACAGTGCTACAGAGCTTTACAAAAACCTCTCCTTGGTTTCACCCTATGTGGCCTCTGAGAAACCCTGGGGCCGGATGTTTTCTCCAAGTCAAGTTTCACCAAGATCAAAGGGTTTTGGCTCTTAGGTTAGGGCAGGCTCACCCAGGTGTTCTGTCTGAGGTCCTTCTGGTCCCCAGGAGAGATCTTTTCTCCACTTGTGATGAGATTGGATCTTCAGGAACCATCCCGTCCACTCCCATCTGTGCTCTTTGGCCGTCTACTCTCAGTTGGTTTCCCACGGAGGAGTATGCCAGATACTTGAATGTCGCCAGTGATCTGCATGCTGTGGGTCAGGCAGGAAATGTTCGTGGGCAGTGTCATTTCTTTTGTCACCTGCTAAGCTTCTTAGTACCCTCTGCCTGCCCCATTTTACACCTGAATAGTATTACACAGTTTACAAAGGGCTTTCATGTAAATTTAAAATTTTATTCTCTCCATTGACTTCCTAGTTGTTAAATTCAGAGCCAGTAGCCCATATGGTTCTTTGTAGGAGTCAGAATAGACAACCCCTCTGGGCGCATGCAGAGGCAGCCCCTTGGGTTCAAGCTTGGCAAACCAATGGTATCTTTGTTTGCTTTATAAAAGGCAGCCCTTTCTCCAGCTGATTTAGCTCCACACCAGAGACTGGATTTTTGCCCCACTTGCCCCCTCAGCTTGGTGCCCTGGTGTAAGTTGTAACCTGTGCAAGTAGACACAGTGGCTCTGGCCACATTCAACTGATGCCTTTTATTTATATTATTGTTTGACCTCTGATTTTTGACACAGTCATTTCCTTTTTGAAAACTCCCCTCTGGAGCTCTCAAGTCACTGGCCTTGGTTTGCCTTTGATCTCTGCATCTATTATAAACTTTATAGTAACCCCATTGAAACTGACCTTATTAAATGGTAGCCATGAAAAGTAAGTGAATCTTGTTATCAAAAGGGAGCAAGATTTAAAAAAAAAAGGCTGATGTTCACACTTTAACTGAAAGATCTTATCCAAATCCATGGCTTATTTAGCACATCACTTCTTTATAATCTTTGTGACAACTCCTTCCTGCACTGCGCACAACTACACGCTTGTCCAGTAAACACCAAACAACTTCATCTTCATGGGCAGAGTCTCATACTGTTTTTTTGCTGATTAAAAATAAAAAAATGCCAAGAAACACCTTCTTAGACTTTACTCATTTTCTGGTCTTAGCTGTTATCTTCTGTGGGACGTGCTAAATAACCACTCAAATTAGTTGCCCATCCCATTCTTAAATTTTCATGGCATCCAGTTTTTATCTCTGTCATTGTACTCAGAGCCCCTTTTCTCTCTTCTTCATTACATTGAGATACTTGAGAGGAGGGATTTGTCCTGTTTATCTCTGTATCTCCTGTGCCAACACAGTGCCTGAGTCAGTGAGTGCTCATTTCAGGGATGAGGTATTTCATGTTCAGAGAGGATAAGCTGGGATGTGACAGCGCCTTGACCAGAATCCACGTCTGCCCAAGTCTGGTCTCTGTGCAGGAGGCCGCCTATGGAATACTGCCTTACAATGTAAGCTGTAAACAAATTGATTTCTAACATTGGCTTGAGTTAAGTGTCATTAGGAAGATAAATGTGTTGTGATTTGCTCCACACCATGAAATATATCCTAAAGCCAAATAGAAATGAGTTTCATGTTGTTTGCAAATTTGGAGTATTCAAATCACATTCTTTTCCATTAACATGAGTAATCAAAGATCAATTGTGCTCTGGAGAGGAATCCCAGAGTGTCACAACTGGGAGAGACGTCAAGGAGCATATATTTACTCCCCTATGTGTTCAGATAAAAGAATGAAAAGATTCATAGAGTTTCACAACTTGAGCAAAGCGCCCCATTTCAAGGAACAGAGATTAAATCGAGTATCACAATTCCTAGTCCACTGACATTGTTTTTGTACATTGGCAGATACCTAGAGCTCAGTCTTCTACGGTATTCTATTTATCATCTGAAAGTGTTTCTGGACATCTTCTCACTCCCATAGCTGATCTCCTCCCTGAAGCAGCCACAGAATGGCCTGGGAGACCTGACATTATTTTTCTCTATGTAACTTTTCATTGTGGTACGAGATTCTCTGCTGTGGGAAGGGGGAGAGGGAGAAGCAGGCACAGGGTGAACATATCCAGAAGTTCAGATCTCCCTGGAAGGAGACTGGACCATATGCTCTGTATCTGCCAAGTTTATTCTCTGGAGGAACAGAGAAAAGGGACAATATGTAGGAACTGGGTTCACCTTAACAACCAGAGAGGAATTAACAGAGGCCAGGTTTTTGAATTGAGACCCATATAAGGCCCCAAGAGTAGATAAATCTAGTCAGATACCCCTGACATAACTGACTTTTGACATACTGCCCTTTTCTATGATGGCCGCCCACCGGAGGGAGAAATGAACTTGACAGCCAACTGATTGGAGTTCACTGGTACATCTGTAGACGCAGGGAACAATCTGCCTCCTCCCTCTCAAGTGGAGGACTTGCTTTTGAGTCATTATCATTATCTCAGATCTTGAAAGGCAGTGATTTTAAGATACCTCATTTAAACTGATACCTTGACTCAGAATGATCCAGAATGTACAACATCACCATTAGCAGTTTTCTTATTTATTTTACCTATATAGTCAGTGACAGAGTTTATTTATGTCTGAGAAATATTTCATATGAACATACAGTTGTAATGTGTTCTTACACCAGAGATTGGGGAGAACTCTGAGCACAGCAGTATTCTTTAAGGAAACAGTCTAATTTTCAAGAAACATATCATATATTACTTTTCCATTGTTTAAACTTGCTGCAGGCTTCTTGGTCACTTAAAAATAAAAACTTTAAGAAACATTTCATTATGAAATCTTTGAAACAGTCCAAAAGAGAGATTAATGGAATCAGTATCTATAGAAACATCACATAGATTAAATAATCATTAATGTTTGCTAATTATTTAGTTCACATATTTAAAAATAAATTATAAGTGTCATGAAAATTCATTCTTAAACACTTCAGCATGCATTTTTTAAAAATAAAAATATTTTTCTGTATAACCATAATACTATTTCTTACATAACAAAGTTAATTAACCATTCTCTAATGTCATATAATCTCTAATCTAATAAAATTTTCCAAATTCTCCATAAAATATCTTCTACAGATTTTTTAAAAAATAAGAATTCAATAAAAAATTATGCATTTAATTTGGTTGCTAATCTTTTGTGTTCCTTTGATCTGTAATAGTTCTCTGCCCGCAGTTTCCCCTTCTTTATGCTCTTCATGACACTGGTGGAGGCACTGGACCTGTTGTTCTGCAGAAAGTTTTGCCTTCTGCATTTGCCTAATGTGTCTTTGTAGATTCATTTAACTTGTACTTCTAGTTCCCTTGTCTCTAGTTAGAACTGAAGGTTTGATTTGGTTTAGTTTATTTATTTAGTCATGGCAATAGTACTGTGCAAGTGAAACCGCATATTGCAGCTTAGATATAATGACTTGATGAGGCTAGGACTGATCACCAGGATGAGATGGAAATAGAAAATCTATCTTTTGCAAAGTTACATATTCCCATTGCAACCAGCAGGTTTTAAAACATTTTAAAACTCTTTTTTGAACTTACAATATTATTCTGTGCGATTTCTTGCATGAAGCAGAAAGTTAGTCATATTTTTTCTGTAACTGTGAATGCCTCTAGTTTGCTACACCAGAAAGAAATGTTGTAAACTCATCACTATATGCTAAATGAATTAATATCTGTAAGAGTTTTCTCTTCTAGAAAATAGTAATCCTAGGTTTATTTCTACTTGCACTAAAAGTGAGAACTTCATTTAAAGTATTATCTGTGTGAATTGTTGTTCTGTATTATTTTGATTGAGTTGATGTAGCTAGTCCTTTAAGTCATAAACCAGGTATTTTGGATGACCTGGAGGAAACCTGGGGATAGTTTTTTTTCCTGTATGCAATGATTTTGTCCTTCTAGACTTAAAAAAGAGCAGGTGGACTTGGTGTGTTAACTGGAGACTATAATGCCGGGATGAAGAGATTAATCCCTGTACTCTTGGATCAAACCCACCCAGGGTCAAGAGAAGGGAGAAGGAGAGCCTGCACTCCATAAATTCTCAGATCTCTGGTATTAACATTGATCGATCCTCTGAAGTGAGTAGAAATGTTGCTTAGTTCCCAGGAAACACCTTTCAAAAACACATAGTTTAAGTGAGTAGAGATAAACTGTGTCTTATTTCTGGGAGGAGGGCCTGCTTGGTGGCATTAGGTCACAGAGAGAAATTGCTCGACTCTGAAATAATATTCGCAGTCAAGTCAAGTCTGCCACTGTCTCCAAGGACCAGCTCAAGATTCATCTCCAAAAGCTCCTCTCAGTTAACTCTATGCACCACCACTGTCTCTCCCACCATCTAGTCTTCCTCGTGACTTTCTGATAACTCAGGTTTATTTATGAAGGGCCTGTAACTTTCATCACATCTCTGGGACATTT